GATAATTATTGTACAAAATGGTATAAGAATGCAAACATTAAGATCTGTTCTGTTTAAATTGATTATAGTCTATCAGTTCAGAAACTAGTGTTGCTTGCATCCTATTTTAAAAAGGCATTTCTTTTTATACTCTAATAAAATGCAACAAAAAATGGGTTTGATTCTATTAATGTTGTCTTTTTTATTGCACTGTTGCTGCAGCAGATTACTGTGTAGCTTCAGATCTGAGTTGTCTTATTAGTAAGCCTAATTTATACTTTTGTAGCAACACTATTTTTATATAATGGCAAAGAAAGGGTTCTTCAGAGTCTTTTCTTTTTGTCCTGTGTCATATGTGGCAGCACTGCCACAAGTTCCTCTTCAGAGAGGGTCTTCAGTACAGGTGGCAATATTGTCACCTGCCTGTGCTCATCTCTGAAACCAGACCATGTAAACAGGCTGGTATTTCTTGCAAAAAATCTTTAAGAGATGACATGAGCAGCCCTACCAGCATTTGCCATGGTGGCCTAAACATTTTTATTTGGTCTTAAATTGTAGTTCAACATTTATTTCCTGTTACTTCTGGACCATGACGGTTGGCCAGCCTTCAACGTTTAACTGAGTGGAATATGTTGAATATGTTTTACCAAAATGTTGGCTATATGTTAAGGAGTTTTCAGTAGGTTGTGACCGTGCACTGCAACATGTTTGATTTAATTTATTTTGGTCTAATTTATTTTTATTTATCATATTAATATATGTTTAGTATGGTTTTGGAAGTGCGCTCCAACACATTTATTGATCTTGTTTATTGGTAAAATATTATTTGTTTTAAAGTTCAATGAATAATCGTCAAAATAATCGTGATATCAATTATTGACCAAATAATCGTGATTATGATTTTTGCCATAATCGCACAGCCCTAGTGTGCACACAGTTCTGCCGGTAATGAATATTACATTTTGTGAGGAAACTTTTCCACCAATAATTCCAATAAGTATTCCAAAATGTATTCACTTCAGGTTTACGAAAGTAACTGTAATCAGATTACTCGTTTTTCAAATGTAACCCCAGCTAAATACACTTGATTTTTGAATTCTGATTAAACTCGATATTTGTTCACTTGAATTTCACTTTGAATTATTGGATATTCTCAATGGGTGAATAACTTTTTTTTCATTATTAATAATAATAAAATCATTTAAAAAAAAAAAAAAATAACACCGAAGCTTTCTCAGGGTGGGCCAATGAGTAAACTGGGTGGGCCTGGGCCCACCCTGGCCCTATGGTGGCTACGCCACTGGTGTGTCGTCATGGCAATGTGGTCCTGAAGACACACAGAGGTGCTTTTGAGTACTTTGCCTAGTGTTTGAATGCATGTGGACAGATTTAGTCAATCCCAACCGTGCAAGTTTTAGTGTATCTTCTCATATTTTTTGCAGGTTCCATACAATATGTGAACTGGTTAAGTGAAGAGCAGAAGCCACTTTTCAAATGTTACACAATCCTTTTCCCATGCCATTGCTGCCAACACCTATCCATGCTGAACGTCTCTAAGATATTATTGATTGGGGTGTGGCCAAAAGTGCAATATGCTTCAGAATGTAGCTGACAGAGAGCAGTGCTTTTGTCCTGTGTTTTTACACTGTGTCCGTGGATTTGATTTAATTTCAATATTTTTAATTACGTCGCTAAACTCCTTGAAAAGGTCCTCTTCCTTTTCTCCAAGGCACACGACAAGGCAGCGGATGGCTATAGTTCTCTGCGTACTTCAATTGTATTGTGCTATTTTTGAAAAAGTAAAAAAAGAGAAATGACCTAAATGAATATATTCTGAATGGGTGACTGCCAACAACTTGCATTTCAATGACAACTCTAAATAACGATCCTACCTCAAGAAGCATCCTTGATCTGCTTCACCAGATTCATTTTGAATAAAAAGCGATATCACTATAGTAACCAAAGTATGTTTACTCTCACAGTAGCCTCTACTACTTTGTATCCTCTCACAGAACTATTCACAGTTCAAAGGCTGCTAATGTTGGTCAAACAGCAATTTGCCATACAGAGCAACTACAAGGCTATCTACTGTATTTGAACGACAACAGATGACACTCACCTTAAAATGTCCTTTGTATATTTCTATTTGTCTTAACTGTGGGAACTTGTCCCGGCATGTTAAGTGGGAGTGGACTTGAAATCCTTAACTCAAGGTGTAGAACAATAAGTTATCAAGCCAATTGCATTACTTACTTAGTTTTAAGTCAATTAACGCAGAAATCAGAGTTCAAATTACACACAATATTAAGTTGATGTAATTACCAACATTATTACGTCAACACAACTTATAAATTAATGTTTGCAACTCAAACTGTTAATCTAAATCAATTAACTCACATTTTTATCTTGCAACCATGCATTGAATTAAGTGGAGGTGAAAGGTCGCCTGAATTGGTTTTTAGAGTGCACCAATATGAATATGAAGCAGTGGTGAACAGGGGCTCTAATAAAAGAAAGCCCTCGACTGGACTATAGTTGATACTCTTCTTTAATCACAATGATGCACTTGCTGCGTGATGAATGCGCCTCTACAGTATTCCTGTGAGATTCAATCAAGAAGTGAAGCTTATTGGATAAGGCTTTTCTGGCCAAACCATCCTTGAAGCAAACAAACACCTTATGGGGGCTGTGCGTTCACATGCCAATGCGCACTGAGCAGAGGAGATGTCACTTTGCTTCTCTGTACACTGACAGGGCGTTTAGATCTCTCCTTATCACATCTAGCTGAGCCGGCATCATGTGAGGCTTTCTTTATCCCATAGTGCTCAGCGGCACCCTGCAGCTACCAGAGCAACAGACAGCTGCTCTTGTGTCCCCCTCTCCAACTGAGCTGATTGGTGGCATTGGACAAGTGTAAAGCTTTAAATGACGCTGTTCCCATTGCTCGCCGCTGGAGTCTGTCAGAGTGTGTTCCCCCAGGAGGAGTCAGGCTCAGCCCAGGATAGTCTGGCTTTGGGCACAGGGCTGCTCTTCTTTCAGCCGATTGCATAAGACAAAATAGTAAGGTCCACTGTGCTGTGTGGAACATATCATTCTCTGGACTTGGCCATGGCGATGATCTTGTTGCAATAAAAGAAGACCCTCATGCCACAGTAATGCAGCGACTGAAGCGCTGTGTCCACACATGAGCTGAAGGCACAGGGGCCAGGGTGGGGGCCAGGGAATCGCAGAATGTTAGTCTGTACCAAAAACCAAACCTTAAAGCAGCAGGAAACAGGAAAAAGGGTCAAACATAGCTAACCAGCTGACTGTGCAAACACACAGGGAGTAGAGCGGTAGAACATGTATGTGCTCTTCACATTATGCCCTGTGCAGCATGTGAAAAAGGGCCATTATTTCATATTGCTTTTCTATTTTGCAAAGCAGATATTGCCTGAAGCTTTTGGTCCACATAGATAACATGACTAATGCAATGACAGGTAGCATTTCACTTTATTACAGTAGAAACTATGAATATCATGTGAATTGAATACTGTCTGCTAATTGAGTAGGTGTAAAGTGCATGTGAAGAGTATGATGAGATAGAGGAATGCATCATGGAAAATAATACACAGGAGCATGTCAGGGTGCATATTGAAATGGTTGCCTCATCATCTTTTTGGGATCAAAGTGGGAGGAGAGGTCAGTGTGCACATGTTCTGTGTCTGCTGGGTTGCTGGTGCTGAGAGCGAGTTTGGAAGTGACTGGTGTGTTTTGTTTAGATGATGTTTAAGCTTGTTTTGGCACAGTTGGATAGTTTCCCCCACACGCCAAGCATAACGGTGTCGGTGCAGTTGGATCCAAATGAAAGATCATTTCCTCTGTATTGTCTCAAGCTCACTGTCTGTTTCTGTTGACCACCACATAGGCTCTACATCTGGGTTATCATCTTGTCCAGAACCCAGTTCACAGTCTTTACAAATATTTCTCCATCGCTGTTGGTCTTGTCACCTCAATCTCTCCCGCACATCACTGAACTCTATTATTTCCCACGACCCACCTGACAATCTCTCACAAAACACTAGTGTGTGCTCATATTTTACATAAATGTGAGTTTGAGAAGCAGGTCATTTCAGTGGAATAATCTAGACCTGTGGTTGAAAACGCAGCTCTAATCAATGTTTGACAACAACTATTACAAAGCAATGTGAATGGTGCTTCTGGTAGTGATGAACCAATAGAGAATGATCACCTGCAGCTTCTCTCAGCTTGGTGGAGCTTTTGATTTAGTTTCAACTCTGACCTCGAGTGCACTGATTTGGTTCCTTTACAATATCCTTATATTATCTTTTCCAGCTTCAACAGCCGACTGTTTTCAGCAACAATGCACTAAAAGCTCACGTACACCTCCTGCTGAGCCTGACTCTGCAGACAGACACAGTTGGAGAAGCGCTGGGGAACATAGTGGAGCAGTTAGCGGCTGAAGAGCCAGATCTTTCCCTGAGGAGCCGGTAGAGACCTGGAGCAGAGCTCTAGAAGCTGGAGGGAATGGAGATGATAATACTGCTCTGTAATTGCTGGATATAATCATGGATTCAAAAGCAAATGTTTGCTAAAGAAACTAAGAATGAGTTATTGATTTTAGCCATTATAATTCATTGATTTAAAAGGTATTCTATCACTTCGAATGTTAACATATACTATTTTACTAAATGTTACCTCCATTTTATTATCTTAAATGAATAAACCATGTCTAGGCTGATCAACAGGTACAGTCTTGACCTTGTCAGCTTTTGTGTTATCTGCTTTCAGAACAGCTACTTCTCATTCATACCCAAAAATAAAACAAATCTACGCCCACGATTGACCTTCCAGAGCAAGATCTATTCCTCATAGCGCCCTCATATTTAGAAATGTCAAAATGTCCCATTATAATATATTGTTTGAGTGGTGTTTTTCAGGGATGTTACCATAGGAGAATCATTGTGCTGAAAGCTGTCATCACTGATGTGCTTCTGTGTTTCTCTCTTTCTCCCTACCAGATGCAATGTAGATAGCAAAGTATCACGAGTGGCCTGGCTCAACCGCACCACCATTCTCTTCGCAGGAAGTGAGAAGTGGTCTCTGGACCCTCGCGTCATCCTGATGGAAAACACAGCCGTCACAGAGTACAGCATCATGATCCAAAATGTTGACGTCCATGACGAGGGGCCCTACGTCTGCTCCATCCTCACAAACAAGAAACCAAAATCCACAAAAGTGCATGTCATCGTTCAAGGTAAGAAGCTGATTCCTCCTCAGCCTGTCAGTGATAAGGAAACAGTGTTGTGTGGGTGTTCTTCTACGGATGAATCTTGTAACCTCAAGTTGTTCTTGCCTGGATTTCATCAGTGAAAGTCCAATCAAATGGGAGTATCTCCCCTCCCCTGTAAAGGACGGTGTTTTAGATGGAATTCAATGAGCATTAGACCTGGTGATGAAACCGGGATTCAATCTCGATTTAATTTCAGATTGCTGATAGAAATTGATTTAGGGCACAGTGCGCTGTCCTGGCTCAGTTTCTTTGCAAAGTCCTACTAAATCAATTGTCAGCAGAGAAACTTTTGTTTTCTTTTGTGACGAAATCAATTTACCGCACAATGAGTTTCCACAAATAACAATAAGCACCAACGCCTGGAGTCTGCATTGAGGTTTATATCATTAAAAGTGAGATAAAGTAATGTAGAAGATACCTCATTATCACAAAGAGAATGCACTACATCAAGCAAAGACTTTCTTTGAGGAAAGATTCAGCTTTCTCTTTTGACTAGCTCATTTTCTGAAAGATAATTGACATGATCTTCACAAAACAAAACGGTTCAACTCGATGCTATTCACTTTCATGCCATCATAATGAACACTGGGTATTTTTCATACTGTATAATTCATGATGATATCTCATTAACTCTTAATTGATGCTGAGAAGCATCGGGCCATGCTTTTAATCAAACAATAGACAAGCATATTCTCACACAGACAAGGAGACACACTCCAATTATACTTTCCCATGGATTTTCTATCTGTCCTTTTTCCTGACCTTGAATGACTCAACCATCTGGATACTGCGAGCTAACACTTGAAACTTAAAGCAGAAACAATATCCGCAGAATGAGCAAAGCTGGGCTTTGATACACCAACTAAACAGTGGTGGAGACGCTTTGTGTTGCTACACTAAAGAGGGAGGCACCTGCTCCAACAATCAGCGAGCTTTGAGAGCTCAAGTGTGTTTACCAGCCCAGGACACCTTCTTAATTCCAGCACTTTATTCTCAATACACTCTAATACTGGAGAAAGTTGCTCAGAACGTTTGCTCCTTATTTCATAGATAAGACTGTGACAGTTTCCACAGCAATACTGCCGGTCATTATATGTGATAGAAAACTATTTCAATACAAGAAAGACATAATCTATTAATCAGTCATTACATACATGTAGGTCAAGCAGCTTTGTTAATTCACTGTAAAATCTATTTCTAAGATTTATGATTTAAATCTCCTACGGGGGCAACCCAGTCTCACGGCATTTCGTGTTCACCAACACGATTTTTAATCTATTGATTCGTGTTCACCAACACGATTTTCCCCTTTTTTCGTGTTGCACAGCACCATTTTAAAAGCAATGTATTTCTACTGGTAATGTGTTTCGTGCCTGCAGCACGTCTTTTTCTCCGGTCGGGTCGAGGAAGACCGGAAGCTGTGGGGTTCATAAAAACATGTTCTTACTCAATATCAAGCCACAGTTATTGCTTTTATTTTAAATCGTACAATTTCGGACTTTTGTTGCCGTCTGTGAGGAAAATAAATGGCTCAGAGTCTCAGGATACTGAAATCTGTATTTTTAAATCTTTTTTTCCTTCTAATTTGTTATTCTTTTCAAAATAACACACTGTTATTTACTCACCAATAACACACAATTATCCTTGCTTTTATTTATTGGTTTAATTCCATAATCTCTGGCTTTTTTGGCGTCCGTCAGGAACTGAATTTCAAAATAAAATATCCGGAAACAGACGTAGGCCTATAAGGGACATTTCGAGCGTCATTGCGATTGTCAACCTTTCTGAGTTTAGGATGGCCGAAGACACTACACTACCCATAATCCCCAGCTATCGTTTAGGACTACAGTCCCCCGTAAGGTTACGCAGAGCGTCAAACAGCTGTGTGAAATGGAACGAAACCACGCCAGACTATCCAAAACTGGAATCGAACGCCCCCCCAGAACTACACATGCTGGCTATTGTGTTTCGCTAAATGTGAATGTGTGTGTGTGCATGTGAATAGCCGACCTTTATTATGGTACCGAGTATATTGCCATAAATATGATGATTGATTATCAGTAAAAAATTCTATGTGACACAACGACATTGGATTAACCTTGAGATGCGTTTTTATTCCGTTGAACGCAACTTTTGATCACAAATCAAAAAAGGTAAGATGTAATTATTGTAATATTCTTGGAACCGGATGTTGTTTACTTTCTCTTTTCTGGCTGATAGCTCCAGGAATTCGAGGTCGGACAGTGATGACATTACATGTGTGGGATCTGTGGAGTCTCAGCTTTAAATCGTATATCTTGTTTGTGCAGTTAAGATAGTAATAAGGGCATTTCTACCGTGTGTTGTGTGTAAAAAAGCGTTAGCATTAGTTAGCATTGTTTCGCTCAATGCTAATTCAAAGGCTTGGTATTACTCTTGTGTTTTTTCTAGCTAACAATTGTTCTTATTGTCAGTTAGTGGAGTTTCTTACCTTTTAAAAGGGTATGAAACATTAATAGTTTCATAAATGTTAAGAAGCCGTGAGACATGTGAGAGAAAAAAAACTGTGGGAGGGGTCCACTGGGGGGACCTTCGGGCTTAACTGGTTAACAATGATTAATATTTGTAAAGGCTACAGGTGATCTTAAGATGCGTGAGCTATGCTTAGGGACCTACCAGTCAAGATTATTTGTGCGTAGGGGTGCATCATCTTGCGCCTGGTCCTGGTCATCCTCGCCATTGCCCATGCCGTGAACCATCACCTCGGGCTCGGGCTCGAACAAATAAGGACGTAATGGTCCATCGTCTGGCTCAATATTGTCACCATCGTCGCTTACTGAACCGGATTCAGATTCAGTTCCTAAAACGACATTTTCGTAGGAAAGCCGAGAGGATGTTTCTGACTCGCTATCATCACTGGATACCTCGTACAATCCTTCTTCTTTGTCTGGTATATTTGCCCTTCCACGTTCATTCTGCATAGACGCCATGGTTTGTTATCGTATCGTCTTCCTAAGTTTTCGTCACTTCTGGTTTGGCTGAGTCGAACATTTCGTTTCTAAAAAACTTCGGGGAAGCTGCAATAAAGTGCTTCTAACATGCGTAAGGCATTTATTATATTTTTTTAATCAGGTGTGATTGTTTTGGTACGTAATTATGCTTGTATATAAGTTAAAACGAAACTATTTGAGGTTCCATTTCCACTATCCCTTTAATGTTTAAATAAAGGTTAATTCGTTTTTCTGTTTTGCACCTCCTCCTATTAATATCTTTGTACATGCTGCACTAAACTGTTTTATTGTAGAGATCACTTTATAGTATCTTCTTGATTTTTTATATTCTATATTTCTATATTTATACTTTCCCCCTATGAAAGTATGTACTCTTAATATTTTTTTAATCAAACACAATAATTCAATAACGTGCTTTAACCACTAGATGCACACAAGGTACACAAATGTTTTCCGGATTTCATATCATATAAACACAAAATCCCAGCATGCATTGCGGCTAAAACATCCAATAAGCGAGCTTAAAACCATAGCTGAGGATCTTGGGTAATGCCTATTGTTAGGGATTTGGAGGGATAACTGGTCCGCTTTTCAAATCTCCGCGCGTTCCTATGAAGCTGGTTATAATACAGGAAGGAATCCATATCTACAAAGTAACCGTTAACAATAATCTACTTTAATGGCAATATGACAATGCAATACAATCATTACAATACAACATGATATATTACAGTTATATTGTAATGCTTAAGGAGTAATACCGGCTTACTCCTGCCCTGGTTCGCATACTGCAGAGCTACTTTCACCCGAGGGCAGCATGTGAAGAAGAGGCCGAACGCCAGGGATCCACCGGATATATACCAGAGTAAGAAGGAGGGGTTTGGCACTATGTCCGGTTATTTTTATTTTGAAATTCAGTTCCTGACGGATGCCAAAAAAAGCCCGAGATTATGGAATTAAACCAATAACTAAAATCAAGGATAATTGTGTGTTATTGGTGAGTAAATAACAGTGTGTTATTTTGAAAAGAATAACAAATTAGAAGGAAAGAAATATTTAAAAATACAGATTTCCGTATTCTGAGGCTCTGAGCCCCATTTATTTTCCTCACAGACGGCAACAAAAGTCCGAAATTATACGATTTAAAATAAAAGCAATACTTGTGGCTTGATATTGAGTAAGAACATGTTTTTATGAACCACACAGCTTCCGGTCTTCCTCGACCCGACCGGAGAAAAAGACGTGCTGCAAGCAGTAGAAATACATTGCTTTTAAAATCGTGCTGTGCAACACGACAAAAAGGGGAAAATCGTGTTGGTGAACACGAATCAATAGATTAAAAATCGTGTTGGTGAACACGAAATGCCTTGAGACTGGGTTGACGGGGGGGGGGTCCTTGGCAGAACAACATTGAAGCTTCCATTTGAAAAGATTGAAGAGTGGCCCTTTGCAATGCAAGTCGCTGATTTATCTTAAAAGTCTTGTTTTCACTTTTCTTGGTGAAGATATTCTTACATGACTTTTGTGTAGGGCCTCTGTATTTGGATGTAATGCACATTGATAGTTGCCATGGCAGTAGTAGTTTAGACTTTGATATATTCAGGTTGTTTTGCTGTTAGGATAAAGAGGCAGCCCAGAGGGGTTAGGGTTAGCCCAGAGTTTCTCCCATGATGCACTGGCCATACAGTGGTGTAATGACGCTTTGACCTGATGGCACATATTCATTTACGAATAATTAATGCAGTGTTAACATGCAATTGCTGCCTTTTCTCAGGTATGTGTTGTGAGAACGTTGTGTAGGGAAGAGCACACATATCAAACCCTGGAGATATAAATGAATGAATACAGTACATACTGCCACCTTTATGGCAAATCAGGAATCTGTGGGGAATGTTAGCGGTTCTCCGGTCCCTGCAGGCGCTCCTCTCTAGTACCTCCAATGGAGATTGGTGTTGAACCTGTACAAAGAGAAGG